CAAAGTATGTTTAGCAATTTGGAACTTTGTCATATTTCATTTTTCTTTCAAAAACAAAGAAAGAAAAAAAAACTGAAAACTTTTGCTCTTGACACATTTTCAGGAAATAATGAAATTTAAATTTTTGTTTTGTTTTAAAAAAAAATCACACTTTATTTGTTTGCAGTTCAAACCAATACAATAATGTGAAACACTATTTTTTCTGTCGCAATCGCCAACACCAATGCTCGTTTCATCCATATGAGAACTTTTTTCATTTCATCCATATTTTAAAAATCGAAGGAAAATTTCAAAAATAAATTGCAAAGTAGAGTCTCCAATCCATTGCCAATAGCTGATTTTCTTTTATAAAAAAACGTTTCAAAGTATGTTTGCAATTTGGAACAAATTTGGAACTTTGTTATAAAAAAAAAGTTAAGGAAAAAATTGAGAACTTTCATAAAACAAAGAAAGAAAATACACTAATTTGTTTTACTCTTGACACATTTTCAGGAAATAATGAAAAAAAAACTTTAGTTCTTTTTAGTAAATTCACACTTTATTTGTTTTCAATTCAAACCAATATAATAATGAAACGCTATTTCTTTCTGTCGCCAACACTAAAAAATGAGAACTTTGTTCATCCATATTTTCAAAAAACGAAAACTCACATTTTTTCTTTCTTTCCAAAATTCAAATATTTTATTTTCAAATGTAACCAAATCTAATCGCCATTTTCTGTAGTGTCAAACGCAATTTGATAATAAATGAAAGAAAAAAAACCTGAATGCGAACGTAGTTACTACTCCGATACGGCCCAAAGCCCATAGCAACAGCCTGATCAACAAACTCAGCAGATCCATCACCAGAGATTCTAGCCATGGGCCTGGCCCATTCCTTAACCCTCCAATTCTTGACTTGCTCATAATCATAATTCACTTCAAATAGCTGACCAGTCCCAAGCGACAACACAAGCAAATCCTCCACTCCTTTCACCGCCGGAAACTCCTGTTTGTTATGGAAAACATGCGTTATCGCCGCCGCCGTCGGATTACTCATCGCCAAACCACCACCGACGGCAACGCACCGTGTTTTTCCATCGACGGAGCAAGTCCGAACCGGATCAAACGTCCCCGGCTCCGCCCACGTGGCACGGCAGATATCTCGGAGACGGAAATCGAAACTGTCACTCTCGAGCGCGTCGGCGCGTGAGAATAGAAACGGAGCTGTGCTTGAGAGATCGTAGCAAGAGATGAGAATCGGTTTCAGTGTGTCTTTGAGGGTTAGATCTGCGAAAGAAGCTTTCATGGCTTTCTCGAGTTTTGCAGTTGCGGCGGTTACTGAAGAAGAAGAAGATCCGGATCCGGATCTCATGACCCGTTTTATCGCCG